CAGGCCTCCACCCCCAAAGGAAGCAGCCCGTGACAGCTGACTAACTCCCAGGTACCTATTTACTGCTAGGTAATAGGGGCATAGGGTGAAAGAAACTCTGCCCATCGTTTCTCGCTTGCGCCCGGGATCGAACCCGAGACCACAGGATCACAAGTCCAGTGTGCTGTCCGCTCCCCGACCAGCTCCCCATCGACCAGCTCCCTAATTGTGGAGAGCACAACAATTATGCCAAAACCAAATATTTTATTTTTTTAGAAATATTTCTCCTGTAGTGACCCTGCAGCAAAAGACCTTCCGCCTGGCTTGCACAAAAGAAATCTATTATGAAACGTATTAATTTTTTAATCCGATTGGTTTTCATAATGATCCTAGCCAAGTCATCTGGTTTATATGATTTTTTAACAAAAGTATTTATCCCCCTAGATATTGCTATACTATTTATTCTACACAAGGAAGTGAATGAAGTAGGTTGAATATTAATAGAAATATGATTTACCCGACCGGTGATAAGTCAACGCTCACACTACACCTGGCGAAGCCATCGTTGGTGACGGGGAGCAAGTTATGTGGAGCCCAGGCCCACCATTCGAGACGGAGTCGCACTCTCCTAATACGGCGCCTTGACTCACTCGCCTAAAATGTCTGGCAGAGCCAGCTCATCCTTAAGCCGCCATCTTCACAATATTGGCCAACTGCTTGGTAATCCAGCAGGCGCTTCACCTGTTTATGACTGAAAAACAGCCTGTCCTCAGGCTAGGTTCCCTTGGCATAGTCGATGCGAGCGTCCTTAAAGCCTCATCCACTTAGTTAATATACAAACAAATACAAAACGATTCAAAGAACCTAACCTATTCTAGGCCTACTTATACACAAAATCCTGATATGTAATAATATTTACTTACATATGAGAATATGTACTTTTTAATTACACACTATGGAAAACAATTGAGTGAGCATTTCGATAAAACAGGCGGGACGATCATAGCCTCAGATCTAGTTGGCTAGGACGGTCGGGCCAAGGCCATAGTTTCCCCGATGTGCTAGGTGTACACTCATACTGTCATGATGTGTTAGGTGTACACTTATACTGCCATGATGTGCTAGGTGTACACACATACCGTCATGATGTGCTAGGTGTACACTTATACTGCCATGATGTGCTAGGTGTACACACATACCGTCATGATGTGCTAGGTGTACACACATACTGTCATGATGTGTTAGGTGTACACTCATACTGTCATGATGTGTTAGGTGTACACACATACCGTCATGATGTGCTAGGTGTACACACATACTGTCATGATGTGTTAGGTATACACTCATACTGTCATGATGTGTTAGGTGTACACTCATACTGTCATGATGTGTCAGGTGTACACTTATACTGTCATGATGTGTTAGGTGTACACTTATACTGTCATGATGTGTTAGGTGTACACTCATACTGTCATGATGTGTTAGGTGTACACTCATACTGTCATGATGTGTTAGGTGTACACTTATACTGTCATGATGTGTTAGGTGTACACACACAGTCATGATGTGCTAGGTTTACACTCATACCGTCATGATGTACTGGGTGTACACACATACTAATGAGTGTACTGGGTGTACACACACACAATAATGACTGTACTGGGTGTACATCATAGTTTCCAATCGTCATGTACACCAGTTCATCAGCAACACCTGTTCTTTTCCTAAGGTGCACATATGTGCTCTGTACAACTCTGTACAACCTGTACAACTCTGTAAAACCTGTACAACTCTGTACAACCTGTACAACCTGTACAACTCTGTACAACTTGAACAACTCTGTACAACTCTGTACAACCTGTACAAGTCTTTACCACCTGTACAACCTGTACAACTCTGTACAACCTGTACAACTCTGTACCACCTGTACAACTCTGTACCACCTGTACAACTCTGTACAACTCTGTACAACTCTGTACAACCTCTACAACCTGTACAACTCTGTATCACCTGTACAACCTGTACAACTCTGTACAACTCTGTACAACTCTGTACAACCTCTACAACCTGTACAACTCTGTATCACCTGTACAACCTGTACAACTCTGTACAACCTGTGCAACCTGTACAACTTTGTACAACCTGTACAACTCTGTACAACCTGTACAACTCTGTACAACCTGTACAACCTGTACAACTGTACAACTCTGTACAACTCTGTACAACTGTACAACTCTGTACAACCTGTACAACTCTGTACAACCTGTACAACTCTGTACAACCTGTACAACTCTGTACAACCTGTACAACTCTGTACAACTCTGTACAACTTGAACAACTCTGTACAACCTGTACAACTCTGTACAACCTGTACAACTCTGTACAACCTGTACAACTCTGTACAACCTGTACAACTCTGTACAACCTGTACAACTCTGTACAACTCAGCTTGTGTTTCCTCGGGATCACATCTGCTGCCCAGCACCCTTGACCTGTAAGATCTTCCATACATTACCTGTAAGATCTTCCATACATTACCTGTAAGATCTTCCATACCATTACCTATAAGATCTTCCATATCATTACCTGTACGATCTTCCATACCTTTACCTGTAAGATCTTCCATACCTTTACCTGTAAGATCTTCCATACCTTTCCCTGTAAGATCTTTCATAACTCTACATGTAAGATCTTCCATACCATTACCTGTAAGATAGCCGCAAGAGCTGAGACTATCAAATATAGCCTATCGTAAGTTTTGCTGGCGATAGCAACCCGTTCTCGCACTTTCTTACAGTCAATATTGACTTATTAAATACGTGCATATGTGACATATTAAACATACTAGTTTACCTTGAAAAGCTTCATAGAAAACACCGACCTTACCTAACCTTCTTAGTATGTTAAGATAAGCATCTTATTGCTTCGTAATTACAATTATTACTTAACCTATACCTATAATAGGTTAAGTAATAATTGTAATTACGAAGCAATACAACCTTCAATAAGATAAGATAAGCAATACGATAAGATAAGGTGCAATAAGATAAGTATCTTATTGCTTCGTAATTACAATTATAACTTAACCTATACCTATAATAGGTTAAGTAATAATTGTAATTACGAAGCAATAAGATGCTTATCTTAACATACTAAGAAGGTTAGATAAGGTCGGTGTTTTCTATGAAGCTTTTCAAGGTAAACTAGTATGTTTAGTATGTCACATATGCAAGTATTTAATAAGTCAATATTGACTGTAAGAAAGTGCGAGAACGGGTTGGCGATAGACACCATACACCAGGATTCCGACTTCTGGAAAAAAAAAACTAATTCACTGAACTAGGAAATATTTCTAAATATTGTGATTTCACTCGGAATATTTTCTCCGTGTGAATATGTACATTAATCACATATGATTCTGCTTTGCCTCGGGAGAAGGGGAGGGCATTATTAGGAAGAAAACGCCAAGCCATTGCGACTATATAGCACTTGGACGGGATCAGGATAAAGGTATGCGATGGGACGGGGGGAAGGAATGGTGCCCAACCACTTAGACGGTCGGGGATTGAACGCCGGCCTGCAGGAAGCAAGACAGTCGCTCTACCGTTCAGCACGAGGTACAATGATACAGGGGTTATGATGACGGGGTCATTTGGTAATTAGCATCTACATAGTCCTAATGACTGAGCACTTTCTTCTGGTAATTACTTTACCTTACCTTGGCAACAAGCAAGAGGAGTCAAGGTTATAAGAGAGAAGACAAGGGTCAAGAGAGAAGACTATAATGGAGATAGTGTCTTATCAGTGTGGATTCTACTACGGTCTTGACAAAGTCCTCACAGGCGTGACGTCACTTGCAGGCTACTCCCAACCTGGTATCTCTTCTGATAAGATGATTCCCGTAAGAATATATCGCTAGGACTAGGGACAGCCTGGCAAAGTACTTTTCCTTAACATTCGCGGACTTTCTCTTAATTTTCTCTTCTATAAAACATTAATCTCAGTATGACCTGCTTTCGTTTTCCCTCGCTGCGGGAGTTGGACCTGTGTCACTGGTCTCGTGTGCTGTGATGACCAAGCTCAGTGGTTTCGTCAGGGGGGACTCTTCCACACCACCAGTTGCCACTTCTAACTTGTATTTGTTTACTTTTACAAGCATAGAAAATGACATTTAAATTATCAAATCATATTTTAGGATTATAATGTTCCCCCATAAGGATTACCTATAGTAATCTTCCACTGATCTTGAGAGAGCGATAGCAACCTCCAGCTTATAGAAACAAATACCTATTTGATATTCCATGAGTACAACTTTTCAGCTAATCAAACTAGAAATCCTCTATAAATCAAGGGACCCAAAATGTGGAATGACCTTCCCAATCATGCCAAAGGCTGTACCTCTCTCAACCAGTTTAAGATAAAAACTAAGTACTATCTAATAAACTCCACTTTAGGTATTTAGGTATTGTATGTACTAGCTCTATCTTTAAATCCAACATTATGTTTGTAACTCATATTCAATATGAGTTATTGAATGAAAATTATGTTATGAGTTAAGAATAAAAATCTTCATCTTCATCTTAATCTTAATCTTATATCTGCTTAATGATCAACTCAAACTTTTAACCTGCACCTCTGGTCAGATCAACGATCTCGGACTCGAAAAATCTTTCATCTCCTTTCTGTCTACTGCCTTCTCCACCCTATAATTATCATCAGTTATACTCTCTCTGTCATTTACATCCTGATATAACCTCGTTGCTGTGTCTGTATATTTCATGCATTTATTGTCAGTAGTATTTTATTTGTTTATAAATTGTCTATTTGTTAATGGTTTCTTTATTTATTTATTGGTTTATTAGGATATTTACATATGTAAATATTTATGTATTTCATATTTATTTACAAGCTCATTATAATTTTTGTAATTTTAAAAATCTATATATTGTTCATCTGGAATCTGGCACCCTTAAGAATATTTTAATTCAAACTTCCAATTTCCTGGGTGCTTGTGATGACAGCTGGTCGTGACAATGCCTCGCTACGCCTACCAGAAGCCCGCCTCAAGGGTCTACAGCTACAGCTACATCCCAAGCTACGACACGGAACTAACTCACTCCCTCGACAGTAAACTGAAGGCTATTGAAGAGGAAACTGCCCGCGTCTCCCCAGCCCCAGAGGAGGTGAGTCGAGCGGGCAGACTCCCCGCTCAGGGACCGGCCACTAGTACTAGGCTAGCCGCTAGTACCAGACCGGCCGCTAGTACTGGGCTAGCTGCTAGTACCAGCCTGGCCACATTGTTAGGTGATGATACCCGTTCTAGTCATATAAATTGCTAACCATCATTTCATGGATAATACCATTTCATTCACTTGAACCATAGGAGCCTCATACCGCAGACTATGTAAGTAGCAGCCCGCAGCTCTACCAACTCCCGTTAATAGGAAGATTCCATAGACACCTATCTGGTGTCCAATGGGACCTTTGGGCCTTCTCTGGGGTGTCACTTTGGCATGAAGGTGTTAGGTGGTCCACGTCCTAGTTATATAAATTGCTAACCACCATATCGTGAATAATACCTTTTCATTCACTTGGAGCTTTAGACTTGAACTCTGGTACTAGATAATGTTGTTAATTTGGTAGTTTTGACATGGATTGTCATGCCCTACATATATGGTCTTGCATTTTTCAACATTAAAAACCATTTGCCAGTCTTTTTGCCATTTGTGGAGTTCATGTAGATCTCTTTGTAAGGCCTCATTATCCGTTTTTCTTCCCACTTTACCATAAATCTTAGTGTCATCTGCAAGTCTGATGATGTGATTTGTAATATTCTCATCTATGTCATCGATGTATATGACAAAAAGGGTTGGCCCCAAAATGTCCCTTGCGGTACCCGACTCACCACATTTCTCCAGCCAAATTCCTTCGGTGTAACACGACCCTTTGTTTTCTTTGTTTTAACCATTGTTTCATCCATCCCAGTATTCTACTATTTATTCCATGTGCCTGTAATTTCCTTGCTAGTCTTTTATGTGATACCTTATCAAAAGTTTTAGCAAAGTCCGTGTAAACTACATCTACCGGAAATCTCCCTGTCTGAATAGCTGGTTATAGTTTCATAAAATGCGAGCAGATTTGTAAGTCAGGATGTATATTTAACAAATCCATGATGCTTTGATTATATTAAATTGTTCACTGCGAGATGGTGAATGATTCCCTCCCTTAAGATTCTCTCCATGAGCTTACAGGTGTGTGATATCAAGCTGATCGGACGATAGTTTTCTGCCGAGCTCTTTCTGCATTTTTATGAAAATGCGGGTAACATTTGCATATTTCCAATCTAGGGGAAATATCCCTTGATCCAGCATTTCAGTGGTAGGTATAGTACATCTACCAGTTCCTTTACGACTTTGGATTGGATTCCTTCAATCCAAAGGATTGGATTGGATTTATCCTCATCTTTTAAGGGTCCTACCGAGCCCTTTGTTTTGGTTTTACTTCTTATATAGGCATAGAACGACTTTGGATCTTTATGATTTGGGCAAGTTTTCTTTTGTAGTTTCGTTTGGCTGATCAGATTTCCGAGTGGCTGAATTTAATATCCTTTTATATAACTGGAAATCTATGATGTTCATCGTGGATTTATATCTTCTCCAGAGGTTCCACTTAGTTATCAAAGCTCCTTTTATTACCTGTGTCATCCATCTAGTTCCCTTTTCTTTTTCCCTTTTGGCACAAATTTTTTAACAAATTCAGCAATGACCATCTTGAAATTTTCCCATGATGCTTCCATGCCATGTTCACCTATCAGCTTCCACCAGGATGTGTTTTGCAATTGCTCGTCCTGCTTAGCTCTGATCTATTCTTGTGAGCCTTCTAGCCGCGTGCAGAATGTGCTTGGTAGTTGCTGTATTAGGCACATCGTGAAATATTGAAATAGCCGCAGAGACGTAGTTCACAGCTCCGGTTTCACACTGCCTTCCTTGAGTGAACTGTTGTGTAGGCTTATTACACGACACGCGTGCCGGAAAATGACTAATTTAATACAATTTTGTCAATTCTTTATTCGGTAATAATCACGTTATAATAAGTAGTGGCAGAAATCACATTAGCATTAATCATTAACATTAAAGCATAATATATTTGAGGCGAGTATGACATTCTTGGCTATAACAGCGATAATGTCAGTTACATGAGTAGTAATACAAAACTTTTACAGCTCAGCGGTGAACAGGCATCACAGATCAATTTCTACAACCGCACAATCTTCTCATTACGTTTATTTTTTTATTCACAACAAACTAACTCTTATTTTTCAAACGTGATAATTGTAGTGTATTTTATTCAGCGCATATCTATAAAATTCGGGAATTGTGCAAACGTTAAATTTTCCAATAATTATTACTTTAGTTGCACTAATTACGTCTTGTTGAACTTAATTTATATGTGCATATGGTATGATAGGCTAGTGATGCAGCATTATCAGTTTTCCGTAATCAAATATCGGCTTTAATTCTTAGCCTTCGTTTAGTTATTAACGTTCGCACTGATCGCTAATCAGTGTTCATTATGCAAGATGTTATGACAAACTATCTTACGGTGCCAATTTTCGTTATTATGGAAATTTATGTTTAACTCTAAACCATCCGGTCATCTACAAATCCCTGGAATCAGGAAACAGGAAGGAGGGTTCCTGCAAATAACCCAGCCCGTCTTCCTAAGGTTTCCCAACGTCAAGAAACAGTCGTACTAAAGTGCCCTTATCCTAACCTACAGAAATGGTTAGGATAAGAAATGAAACGGAAAATGGGACAGTATGTCAATTTCGCGAGCTGCATTCCACTTTCTAGTACGACGATTAGGTAGAGTATACGTCAAAATGTGACGTTCTATTAGGAGGACGGGTAGCAACCACCTGTGATAACACCCCTTGGCAAGACAAGGAGCAGAGGTCGCGCTATATTTATGTGTTCTAGTTTAGTCAGCCATCAGAGTGGGGGAGGCTACAAGGCTGAGTGTCATGCACCCCTGCACACAAGACTTCCTTCTGAGTATTGTTCTTGGAATGATTATAGATTTAGATACCAGAGTCCATTTTCTGTGTGGTCCTTGTGTAGTTAGATATCAAGCCCCACTTGCACCATACCTCCTTGAGTTATGTGTAGACCCATCAAACTATGCGTACTAGAGACTTTCTGCATGATATGAAGGATTTGGGGAAAAACAGTATATTTTACTTCATCAGAGTATACAGAGTATAGAGTACAGAGTATATATTATTCTTGTTATTATTTTATTATGTGTGCTGCTTAGTTTACATGTTTACTATATATTAATGAACATGACATTTAAATGAGGATTTCATTCATTGTAATTGGATAAACATAATTGATTATGAAATTACTTCTGTGGTATTCGCATTGGCGAGGATGTTATTGAACAAGAAGTTTAATTAACACGGGATAACCCACAAGCACATTTTTAGATGTCAATAAATTATTATGAATGAGCAAATGGTCTTTATAGTTAAAATATGCTCATAATGTGTCCCTGATCCTAGTAGTCTGATGAGTAGTTTATAGACGTGCCCGTGTGAGACCCCCCCCCCCCAACTGATGGTAGCTCTCCCGCATGTCCGTGTGTCTCACGTCTATCCTTCTCCTCTCCTCTATCCCCAGAGCCCTAAAACATTCCCCACGGACGAAAGCATCTACACCAAGCGAGCAAGCAGCGTTCCCCCTCTCTCAAGGATCCCGGACTACGTCTCCTACGATATTCTGCCACTTACGGCAGCAGAATATCCACTGATCACCGCTAGAGCCCCGCTGACGTACCAGAAGACCATCTACTTCCCTCGCCGCCACCATTATGTGGACGAGGTAATGCCTCTCCTTCCGGGGTCCTTAAGGCTCCAGGGACGAGAATTCTCCAACCTGGTGCCCTACGGTCTCTTGGGCTGAGTCTCGGGTCTAAGGGCACTGGTGCAGTAATTACGTTGCCTTTCTTTTACCCTGGTACGCCCAAGACTGGACGTAGCATAGGGGAGGAGGAAATGTTCCAGCGTTGTTCACCATATTAGATTTGTCACTGTGTAGGTCAAAATATTTACTCATAGTCCTGCCAATAAGAGAACACACATTTTGGTCCACTTTAAGAATGACCACTTAAATCACTTAACTTAAATCACTTAAATGACAGTATTTTAAAGTAAAGGATAACTTTCAGGTTTCATTATACAGTAAATTTATTGCACTTGCATTCTGTAACGTCAGATACTTCACCCAAGTTCCTGACAACGTTCTCTAAAATCTTCTGCAGTATTCACTGATTTATCTTTCACGTTAAGGCAACGTTCGCGTGTGCAGTTTTCATAACATATCTTTATGTTAACATTTAATGATCGCAACGTATTTGTAACATAACTATTTTGTATAACCATATAAATATTCAGGACAATTCACACGCAACATCGCTAGATCAGAGGAATATGGTCTTGAAATTTTATTTGTGTGAAGTTAATATTGATATTTTATTGATGGAAAGTTACAGAACATCGATGTCAGTTATAATCGCACATTTAACACAACACCTTAGACCTACTTGATATTCTCTAGCATCTTACATGGGAATGTTTGGCTCTCTTGGCAGCTAAGGAGGCTGGACCCCATCTGGTACCGCCACCCGTGGGACTGGGATTGCATCTGGATTCCACCCCACGAGACCACGGTGGTCCCTCATTTCGGCGTGGGTGGAGCTTACGATCTCATTCTACGCTACCTACGCATGAAACCCCGCGGATATTATATTTTCCCTCATTAAAAGCTTTCCTGGCATCAAAGAAATACAGCTGTCTGGGGAGAATCTCCTTAATCTTGCAACCGTCCGTTGGGAACACCTCTTGGCCAGGCAACCATCCAACTGTAGATTAGTGTCGTCTAAGGCGAGTGTTAACGCGTGCATGGTCTTGTCTGCAGGTGAAGCAACCGGGATACCAGCCCATATGGATGAAACACCCGTACCGTCTGCCCGTCGAGGACATCAAGGTCCCTCCCCACGAGAGCTCCATCTGGCCCGAAGGCGTCCCTCACTTCAATCTCGTGTCTTCGTATGACCTCATGATTGACTATCTGGGCCTACGAAGGCCTTGTCTTCTCTGTTGACATTCTAGGCCACCGAGGCCGTACACTCAGCTTCCACGTCGCTATCATCATGATGTTAGAAGCATCTTGGTCCTCACCAGAGTCAAGTAGGAGATTCTCCAGTAGTAGCAGCGTTCGTCAGACATAACGAGAGCCGTGACGCGGCGCCTCCATGAGAACGACAATGTCTCATCTTTCTCATGCATTTGTCCGTCCGTTTTTGTTTCCTAATTGTGAATGATGTTACAGTGTCCTCTTCCTCTTGGCTCAATAACATATTCATTGGACATATTATATTTTATTGTGTATTTTATAAGAAGCCAAACTTTGAAATTATATATATATATATATAAATATATAAAAATACATATATATTTTTGAGTATTGTTATAATAATGTTGTAAATCAAAGTATGATATTAATTTTATCTTCTGTGAATTATTTCCTATTACAAATTTCTTGACGTGTGAGTTGTGTGTTGTGAGTACTATGAAGACCCACGCGTCGTCTGAGAGTACCCGCGCGCCTCCTCACCCTCGCTAACCCCACCTCACAGCTTTAACTAAAATAATATACATGTAGCTCTTGTATTTTGCGTTTGATTTTCCTTGATAATTCTTCCACAGCGACTACAATGATTAGAAAAACAGTTGAAGAATGGGACACACTAGTGAACATTCTGCATCTACATCCGCCACCAAGAAAACATTGTTAAAATAAGACTAAAACCAGTGCGCTAAAACAGAAGCGAAAAAGAAACAGGGGAAAAGGAGGAAACCCCACCTACATTTAAAAAATTTGACCCAAATATCACAGTAAAAAGGTTATCGTGAATAACCGAACTAAATTTTGGGCTCACTATAGCCCGTGCTACATGGACATTTCGTTCTGAGTAGCTAAATCTAAAACAACAACAGCAACTTGATGATTCCCCAGATAACGTAGCAACGCTGGAAGGCAGTTATTAAAAGGAAAAATAAAAAATCGATTTTTTGCCAACTACAAATATTGCAAAGATAATGCAATATTAATATTCGACAGCTGGAACACGTTCTTCATAAGCATGCATGGGATGGGATGGTGTATGCAGAAATGGGATGTCAAATTTGGCGGACTCAATACAGGAGGTAATGTGTATGATTTTGAATTATTAAAAGCTAGAGTTCTGAGTATGTCGGAAGGAAATGAGGAGCAATACCGTATGGAATTGATATTGCATTCGATATTGTTTGAAATTAAAGTTTACTATACAAATGCAAAAGTGTTAGGAATAAGATGGATGGCCTTTGATGCATGAGCAGAAACACAGCCATAGTTACACTCAGAGTAGTAGACACATGGAATGTATTAGGAAGTGATGTGGTGGAGGCTGACTCCATACACAGTTTCAAGTGTAGATATGATAGAGCCCAGTAGGCTCAGAAATCTGTACACCAGTTGATTGACAGTTGAGAGACAGGACCAAAGAGCCCGAGCTCAAACCCCGCAAGCACAACTAGGTAAGTGCAACTAGTCAACTAGGTAAGTACTCATTGAAATGTGATTGAATATCGAATCGAGGGACCGTCAACCTAAGAATCATATTAGGGGATTTAAGCTCCTTCACACTGATACGACAATTATAAGAGAGGTTAGAGATGGAGTCTATAACAGGTATCAAGATGCTTAGGCTAACCCACCCTACCCTCTACACTGATCCTACAAGCCTTCTTGATCGAGGGTCAGTATTCCTCAAAATGGATTTCCAAAACTGAACTGATGTTTATGATCGCTACCATGAGAGAGGCAACAATGGCACTCATCTGCACCATGGCAGCTCATCCCTTTCCAAATTACTATACGGTAGAGCGACGGTCTCGCTTCATGCAGATCGGCGTTCAATCCCCGACCATCCAAGTGGTTGAGCACCATTCCTTCCCTCCGTCCCATCCTAAATCCTTATTCAAATTCAAAATTCAAAATTCAAATGTTTATTCAGGTAAAGTACATACATACAAGAGGTTATACAAAAATTGATAGATTTGTAGATAGAGCTAGTACATACAACGCCTAAAGCCACTATTACGCAAAGCGCTTCGGGCAGGAAAAACATTAAAGACTAAAACTTAATACTAATTGAGATTAAAGTATAAAATGTGTTGAGAACAAATAAAAATAAAAAAGGGGGGAACATGGCAGAAAAAACAGCAAAAATACAATTAGGTCGACAAACAGCGTTGTTTAAAAAATAACAGACATGGGTTGACAATAGAGGGGTAAGGTAGGTTACAGGGAATTTATTAGGTAGTGCTTCGTTTTTATCTTAAACTGGTTGAGAGAGGTACAGTCTTTAACATGATTGGGAAGGTCATTCCACATTCTGGGTCCCTTGATTTGTAGAGCATTTCTAGTTTGATTAAGTCGTACTCTTGGAATATCAAAACTGTATTTATTTCTGGTGTGGTGCTCATGGGTTCTGTTACAACCTTCAATGAAGCTTTTGAGGTCAGGATTGGCATTGCAGTTCAGCGTTATATATATATATATATATATATATATATATATATATATATATATATATATATATATATATATATATATATATATATATATATAATACACATGAGAGGATGTGCAGTGACTTAATATCTAACATATTCAGAGATTTGAGTAGAGGTACCGAGTGATGTCTGGGGCCAGAGTTGGATATTGTCCTAATAGTAGCTTTGTGTTGAGTAATTAGAGGACGTAAATAATTTTGGGTAGTAGAACCCCAAGCACAAATACCATAGTTGAGATATGGATAGATGAGGGAGTAATAGAGCGTCACCAGGGCAGGGCGAGGTACATAATATCTGATCTTAGAAAGAATGCCAACAGTTTTTGAAACTTTTTTTGATATATTTAGAATGTATCCCTGGAAATTCAGCTTGTGGTCAATGAGAACGCCAAGGAATTTGCCATCTATTTTGTTACAAATTTGGGTATTGTTTATCCTGAGATTTATTTGATTAGAGGAATTATTGCCAAACAGAATATAGAAAGTTTTGTCAATGTTAAGGGTGAGTTTGTTGGCAGTTAGCCTAAGATGGACTTTATTTAGCTCAGTATTTACTGTGACATTTAGAGCAAGGGGGCCAGGACTGGAGTAAATGAAGGTTGTGTCGTCAGCAAACAGAATTGGTTTGAAGTGCATTTGGAAGGTCATTAATGTAGATGAGAAAGAGGAGAGGTCATAGTATGCTGCCCTGAGGAACACCAATGTTGATGGGTAGGGTGGGAGAAATTGAATTATTCACAGAAACATACAGGAGCCTGTTATCCTGATTGATGATGAAGATTAAGCCTCCCAAGCGGAGGCACGGGCATGAATAGCCCGTAATCCTTATCCAGATCCCTTCCAGGTGTTATAGTCGTAATGGCTTGGCGCTTCTCCTGATGGTTCCCTTCCCTTCCCACCCAAGAAGATGATCAAAAAACATCCCATGTACCGTCTTGAAGGAAAGGATTGAAGCCTTAAGTCAGCTTGATGCTCTGAGCGTTTCCTCTCTCATAATATTTATTCTACTGTACTGTAGTTTACTGTATCTATACTACTATAGATATTACAGTATCTATAATATCTGTATCTATAATTTATACTACTGTATACCACTCCACTGGTGCCGCCGGAAAAACAGTTCTGGTGATGGTAAGCGCGAAGCTCGTGTAAACATCTGGGCCTCCAGTACGCTCCAGACGGAATTATAAATAAATAAATAAATGTTTATTTAGGTAAGGTACATACATACAAGAGATTTTACAAAGATTGATCGATTTAAAGATAGAGCTAGTACATACAATGCCTAAAGCCACTATTACGCAAAGCATTTCGGGCATGAAAAACATTAATGACTAAAGCTTAATACTAATTGAGTATAAAGAATAAAATGTGTTGAGAACAAATAAAAATAAAGATAAAAAAGGGGGGGAACATGGCTGAAAAAGCAGCACAAATAAAATTAGGTCGACAAACAGCGTTGTTTAAAAAAAAAAACAGACTTGGGTTGACAATAGAGGGGTAAGGTAGGTTACAGGGAATTTATTACGTAGTGCTTCGTTTTTATCTTAAACTGGCTGAGAGAGGTACAGTCTGTAACATAGTTGGGAAGGTCATTTCACATTCTGGGTCCCTTGATTTGTAGAGCATTTCTAGTTTGATTAAGTCGTACTCTTGGAATATCAAAACTGTATTTATTTCTGGTGTGGTGCTCATGGGCTCTGTTACAACCTTCAATGAAGCTTTTGAGGTCAGGATTGGTATTACAGTTCAGCGTTTTATATATGTATAATACACATGAGAGAATGTGCAGTGACTTAATATCTAACATATTCAGAGATTTGAGTAGGGGTACCGAGTGATGTCCGGGGCCAGAGTTGGATATTGTCCTAATAGCAGCTTTGTGTTGAGTAATTAGAGGACGTAAATGATTTTGGGTAGTAGAACCCCAAGCACAAATACCATAGTTGAGATATGGATAGATGAGAGAGTAATAGAGTGTCACCAGGGCAGGGCGAGGTACATAATATCTGATCTTAGAAAGAATCGCAACATTTTTTGAAACTTTTTTTGATATATTTAGAATGTGTCCCTGGAAATTCAGCTTGTGGTCAATGAAAACGCCAAGGAATTTGCCATCTAATTTGTTACAAATTTGGGTATTGTTTATTTTGAGATTTATTTGATTAGAGGATTTATTGCCAAACAAAATATAGAAAGTTTTTGTCAATGTTAAGGGTGAGTTTGTTGGCAGTTAGCCAAAGATGGACTTTATTTAGCTCAGTATTTACAGTGGCATTTAGAGCAAGGGGGCCAGGACTGGAGTAAATGAAGGTTGTGTCGTCAGCAAATAGAATTGGAATTGTTTGCCATACGCCTCGCACTCAAACAAGTATTTATATCCAAAGTCGACACGTTAATTGTAAATAACGCTTTGGTCATCCTTGATTGTATAGAGCTCTCCAAAACATTAATGTGACGTGCTTGTGTCTGAAACTAAGCACAGATATAATAATTAATGATGGAGTCAGAATATGTGTGTAACGTACGGTTATGTTACGTTGTTGGGTAGATTAGATACAGTGTTTAGTGAGTTTCTTTTTTATTTAGTAGTCCTGGATACAGCAGTGTCGTAGACGTTGAGACGGAGCTTGGAGCAGAGCAGAGAGCTGAGAGTGGCCGGAGTCGCGGAGCTCTATGTGGGAGAGCGTTGTAGCTCGATGCGGTCGTAGTCTGCTGCCTGTTCTGTGTCGAAGCTGAAGCGTCTTGGAGACGCTACAGCTACCTACGCCGAGTACTACATTCTTGACTGGAAATTGTACTGTTTGCTATTCTCAAATCGCTTGCTTATATACGGTGACTACACCTCACAATAAGATAAGAGGGTGGAAAAACCGTTACCTGTAAATAGGGATAGGATTATAGCTTGTGTAGTTAGTGCTAATTAGTTATGCCATTAAGATGATGAGATAACGGAGCGAGTATAAGTTTACTCGCTACAACTTAATATATCAATGAACAAATCCACAGGAGCCCTGATGAAGGTTCGAACCTATGCACTGGGTGTTTCCA